ATTGAAGAGTTCATTTGCAAAAACAGAGAACTCCATCTTCACAAACCTTCAGAAAACCCACTTTTCCATCGTCTACCTGAGACGATATCAATCAAACTTAAGTTGTCTCTATTTTTGTCATTTCTACTGAGTCACATCCACTCAACTTCAGTTTGATATTATCTCAAGCAAACAACAAAAAAGTTTTCTGAAAATCTACAAAAATGGAGTTCTCTGTTTTTGCAAATGAACTCGTCACATTAAGCTCTGAGTTTGATCTGCAGCCACATCAGCAGGCAAACAATATCAGAAATCAGATCTTCATAAGCTTCAGAATCTGCAGATGAAACGACACCAGCAGCAGCATGCAATCTGCAGCTTTTTCTTTTTTTTTTTTCCTGTAAAACTTTCTTTTTGTTGTATTACACCGCGAGAGACACTGGAACTGAACAGACAAGCTGATCTACGACTGCAGAAACAGCAAGAGAGACATTTGGCACAAAACAAAACTGTATATCTGCTATAAATCACTGGCCTGTAAGTCAGCGGGGGTTTGGTATGTGGAAAAAAACTAAATCATGGCAACTCTGTGGGCTGGCACCGCGGCAGACTGCAGCTCCAGGTGAGAAACTGATTGAATCATCGAGAGGAAGCATCTGCAAACAGCTGAGCATCCAAAATAGAGGCCTGCTGCTGCGAAATAACTCAGTTTGACTTTACAGCGACTCGTCTCCTCCCCGACGAACACGCCAGTAATGAAATCCCTCACCCTCGACACACAGACTCATTTGAAAAATATCGATAGTCGTGTCGTGCCTCGACCCGGCAGCCGTGACTCACCACCTACTTATCTTTGGGGTCTCGAACTCCAGCTGAAAAAAACACAACAAACTGAGCTGAAAAATGATCTCTTCTCGTCGGCTAAATCGCCTCAAATTCGCATCGATCGGCCGCTGATTGATCAAGCAGAGATTAAGCGTCTGGTGCTTCATTTTCCCTCCAGAAAACACCAGTTATCATCACAACAACACACAGAAAAAGGCCCTTTATTTCATCTATCAGCGCCTGGAGGATAATGACGGGGGAGAATTAGAGGACGTACCTCCTGCTCTGTCTTTATTTCTCTGTCTGTTGTTTCTGACCTTAGCAGCAACCTGTTTCACAGTCTGTCTCCCGTCTCTGGTGTGCATCCATCCCTCTCAGCCCTGTGCTATTACCACTAACTACTCCAGGCCACAGTAGTTCAGCTATTGATTTTCCTCCTTGTTCGTTCTGTCGTTCCATCCCCTCAGAAACTCTCCCTCGAGAGAGCATCTCCTGCATTTTTTCCTCTGCCGTCGACCAGTTTTCGGCGTTCCCGGTTTGATGCTAAACCACAATGTTCTGCGCAGCGACGTTTAAATTAATCAGGAATCCGTTAAGGTGCACGGGGGTCATCACAAGTTTACAAATACAAATAGGTGGGGTTGTTTTGGAGGAGCAAAGGGAAAAATAAAGCACCAGAGGGCTGTGGTTGCACTCAAAAACAAACACCAAGACACAATTCTTCTTCTTCTTCTTGTTCTTCTTGCAGCAGACACTGAGTTTTAGTGTATTTTGCACTATTTTGCACTCTTGGAGTCACAAATCTGAATCTTCTGTGAGGTTGTAATACGTGGTTGGTGTGTATAATAGTGTGAAATTCAAATGACAGCTCTTAATCTGTCTGCAGTGACATGAAACGTCCAGCAGATGGAGGCAGTGGATCATGTAAATGTTTGTATTTCAGCGCTTTAAATGTCCATTAATTTCCATTTCTGCCAGATATAACTGCACTTTCTCGTCCATTTGCAAGAGAGGATCAACTAAATGTATTCACAGATATAATTAAAAACAATAAAGAACACAGCTAATTAAGAGGATGTACAGGACTGTGTCATATACACATCCGATCACCTGATACTGCATTACCTCAAAGAACAACAGTAGAATATTTATTCTATCAAAAATACAGGCTTCACAGTAGGAACTTAATGCAACAAAGTCAGTCCACCTTTCATTACTCAGAATAAATCTTCATGTGACCAGAGAATGTTCTCCAACATCCATCAGACTTCTGTTCATGTTCTTTATCAAACTTTGATGTGGAAGTTTAGTTGTGAGCAGCAGCCAGGTTTAGTTCTGGTCCTCCGTCCATAGAGGCTGATGTTCTGAAGTGTCCTTCACACTGTCCGAGCTTCACACTAACTCTGGTCTCCATTGATAAGCCCTGTGCCAAGTCTGAAGCAGCTGCCTTTGTCTGGTGTTCACAGCTCCATAGTGAAAGTAGTTGACTGTCCGTGGAGTCATTGTAGGAGGACGACCACTGCAGTCCTGATCAGTGCTACTATGGCTCCTTCTAGACCTCCTGGTAACTGCTCACACTGGGCTGCACTGGGTTTTAGCTGCTCACTGATCTTCTGGATCCTTTTCCATCTTTGTCAAGTCTCTCAGTCAGATGTTTCTCTTCCTCTGTTCAGGTTTTTTCCATGTGGAGGTCCAGAACTGAGAAGGTTCTGCTGTCCTCAGCTCATTTTAGAACCATGTTCATACAGTTAGACTGATTGGAAATCATAGCTGGACTCACTTCGATTGTATTGAGTTTGTACTTTGGGGTGCATTTAATTTTTTATGTATCATCTAAAGTACTTATTTTTGATTGTTAATAAGATGAAACACTCCCCTGTTCAACTTAGGAATCATGCAATTGTTGAGATGTGACACAGTTTAGACTCATTTGACATTTCAGTGATTTATCCTGGCTGCTGCTGCTGCTGCATCCTGTACTGCAGTCTTTCGGCCTGTAATACCGCTGGTGTCCTCTGGGGGCAGTGACGCGCCTGAGAGCCGGAGCTGCTAAAACCAAAGAAGAAGAAGAAGCTTCACTGGAGGGAACTTTGACATTTGTTTAGTAACAGAAGTTAGCAGCATTTTTGTCAATTCAGCTGTCACTTTTTCATTTTTTACCGTTTTACTCGGGACTAAGCTGAAGGTTTGTGTCGCTCTGTTCTGTTTTCGGAGGGTTTTAGCTGAAATATTCAGACGAACGTCGCTGATAAACAGTAAATGACAGTAAACAGTGTTAGCTAACATCGACTTCATAACAGCAGACTTGAGTTTCCTGAAATGAAGAACTGTTTGGGTGATATCTTGTACGCCGAAATTCCAAGTGGATGTGATTGTTTGGGGTTTTGTGTCAGGAGTCTTTTTTTAAACGCAAGATATTTGCCAATAACTGCAGTGACACTAGATTCACTTGTTTTTTAAACCGAATTCTGAATGGCAGTAAAGTTACAGCTATATTTTTTGGGTTAAACAGTTTCTCAGACAACAACGTAATGATAATAATAATAATAAGGAAAAGGTGTGTTTTCATTGTTACGCAGCGACCTGCTGCTGTATTTCATTATCAGATAATTCATGTGCTATATTTCATTAAGGAAACTATAGACACTGCTGCAAATATCCTGCTGTAAAACTATTATATGATAATAAAAAATGTTAATAATAATTTTAAAAAATCCATATTCAACAATTGACATGACAAAAAAAAACAACAACTTTGGGCTGTAGTAAGCAGATTAAAAATAATAATAATAATCCCTTAAGGGCTTTAACACCTGATTGGAATAACGGATGAATAGATACAGGGCTGCTTTTTAAAAATAATTATTCTTACATTTATTTATTTACGGGGAAAAAAAGCAATAAGGTTTTGATTCAAGGCTTTTCTTCGCCTCAGGCGTGCAGGCCTAACAACACCACTGACCTTGTGTATAAGTAAAAAGCCTGTTGTTACACATGTACTGCAAACATTAGAATTTGCACAGCATTCTTAGCTATAAAGGCTTTTTTTTTTTTTTTGACATTCATTCAGTATGACCGCATGCTGCTGCCCTGGATACAGATATTAATAGAAGTCAGCAGGCGAGCGTTGCAGCACAAAAACCTTTCTAGGACAGTTATCAAACCACCGTCTGTCATGTGTTTGACTGAAAGCTGCTGAAACTTTAATTGAAAGTAGAAAAAAATACTGTCCTGCTTCGTCCCTCTGACTAATTCCTGCTCTGTTGTTTCCTTATTTATCTCAGATAAAATAATGAGTGGAGAAGAATCCAGGGGAGGCTCATGGAGGGGCGGAGGCCGAGGATGGAGAGGAGGAGGAGGAGGAGGAGGAGGAGGAGGTGGTGGTGGTGGGGGAGGATGGAGGGGAGGAGGATGGAGAGGAAGGGGCGGTGGTGGTGGTGGTGGATGGAGAGGAGGAGGTGGGGGAGGATGGAGAGGAGGAGGCGGGGGAGGATGGAGGGGTCGACCATGGAGAGGAGGATCAGCAGGAGGAGGAAGAGGCTCAGGAGGAGGCTGGAGAGGTGGAGGCGGATCAGGAAGCCAAACAGCGAGCACTCAGAGAGGTGAGACCTGTTTTATTTTACGTTTTCTCCTGTAAATCTGCAGAAATGAAGAATTTATCTCTAAATAGTTACTGATTCATTTCATAGTTGATTCCTCCACTAATTGTTGAAGAACAGAGACAGCAGATAAAAATGAGCTTGTAGCAGCTGAATGTTTCACATTTCTGCTGGTCACTGTTCCTGTCAATGATGATAATGAATAAATGAAATGAAGAGCTGCATTTAGTTTACTCGACTGTCTCTTCAGTCCTCACGCAGACCACCATGGATGCGCTGTGTCCCTACAAAGGATGGAGTCTGTACTTCACAGACAGTACGTGAGACTGTTTCACATGATAATAAAACGTACTGTAAACAGACAGGTGATGATCAGGGGAGTTTTCTCTGTCTGTGAGGTCTTACTGTGTGTTTTTATGTGCAGGCTTCATCGAGAGTTCACCCAGTGTGGTGAAGATCAAAGTGTTTGAGAAGTATTTCACTTCTAGGATTCACCTGTATGACAAGGTAAGTCACGTGTGCTGTTCTGTTTAACAAACTGGCTGTTTTCATATCGGATGTCCACCAATCGTTCTATCCTCTGTGTATTTTTTGTACATTAAAAGTTTTGTGTTTCTGAGACCAGGATGAGATCGAGCGTCAGGGCAGCGTTCTGGTGGATTATTCAGACCTGACCGGAGACAAAGCTGTCCGTGCTGCACTTCCTGACATCGTCACAGAGCTGAAGGAGCAGCCGGAGGTGATGCTCAGCTGTTTGGGAGTGGCCATCCATCAGGTACAGGCCTTTAAAAGCACACGACGGATGTTCGTTTAAAGCCAAAGTTAAAGCTGAAATTCATTCTGACACACTATTTTACACATTACGAGGTGTGATGGAAAAGTTCTGGGACCATTTGTGTCCCTGTCATGCTATTAACATCAGGACTTGTTGTGCAGCTGAATTCAGGCTGAACAGTCAAACAAAGCTGGTTATCAACTCTGTGAGTCAACTCAGGCTATGAGCAGACACTACCAGGTCTAGAGCCATCGAGTTCTGACAACAAGAACTGACTGTAATCCTAAACATACGTAAGGCTTTCAGACATTCATATGTAATGGTGAGGCAGATTTAGCCTTTTTTGTTTTTAGCTGCTTGGTGCAGTTTTTGATTTTCTTCTGAACAGTCTCTGAACTTTTTGATCACACCTTGTATCTTTAATTTTTACTTTAATCTGAGGAGGAACAAACCAGACTGAAAAGCGTTTGTGTGCTTCAGGTGTTGACTGTGGATTTGGAGAAACAAGCCGCTGAGCTGCAGGAGGAGGAGCTTCCCGTCGCTGCGCCAATCATCAACATCCCTCACATCAGCGCCAGGTAAGGCGCTCGGCGACTTGTTTTCCTGACGCCTGCGCCGCTGCTGGCCGCCAATGACGATGACTTTGTTTCAGGCTGTATAACTACGAGCCGCTGACGCCGCTGCGGACGCTTCGTGCTGGAGTGTTCGGCCGGCTGGTTTGCGTGAAGGGAACCGTGGTCAGAGTGAGCAACATCCGGCCTCAGTGCAGCCGGATGGCCTTCAGGTGTCTGACCTGCTCACAGACTCTGTCTCTGGTGCTGCAGCACGGAAAGTACGCCACGCCGATCAAGGTAGGTATACTCGAGTTTACTCTGCCACATGTTTTTAAACACAAGTTATGCCATATGAACTTTCCTTCCAGCCTCCTCACATCTCCATCTTCAACGCTTTTAGTCAGATTTACAGATTAACTCCTCAGTTTGTGTTTTTCGATATATTTATCCATCAGTGTGTCCAGCCCGGCTGTCGAAGTCGCTCCTTCGCTCCCTGCTACAGCTCTCCTCTGACGCACACCGTCGACTGGCAGGTTATTAAGTGAGTACATCGACTGAAATCCTCCAAAAGATGTCGTGTGTGGTCTCTAGCAGTGGCTTTTTATCAATAATGTGTTCTGATAAGAAAGGGGAATATTCTCTTTGTGGTAGGATAATGGTCTGCATCTCTTATCGCACACTTTCCTGATCACGATGCAAACATTACTTTGCACAGTGTGTTTGGCGCTAACCGTCGTTGTTGTTGGTGATTATCTTTCTTTGTGCTGCCTCAGGGTGCAGGAGCTGATGAGCGGCGAGCAGAGGGAGACTGGACGAATCCCGCGGACCGTAGAGTGTCACCTGACCTCCGACCTCTGCGACAGCTGCGTCCCTGGAGACACGGTCACTGTGACGGGGATCGTCAGAGTCATCAGTGACGGTACGAACACACAGTCTGGTCACAGTAGAGGGCACATACACCGATGTAAAATACTGTTAGTAGCGTGTGTATAAAGTGGGAAGAAGCTGTTCTCCTGCTTCAGTAGTTGCAGTCCCGATGCCTTCAGGTTCAACATTTTACTGCCAGGTGTTCCACAGGGCTGTTAGCAGAGTGTTATTGTTGTAATCCTTGAAATCAGGCCTCTTTAGCTGATTGTTTCCAACACAGATGCATTAAAACACAGTTGGTTCTGTGTTCGGACACAATGCCTCCGGTGTTCTGATAAATACTGAGGACAGTCAAACAGTTAGTCAGGAGTAAAGTCTAACGCATATTGTAGCAGCAGAGTTCTGTACTATGAAGCCAGATTAGTGGGTCAGCAGGTATGTTGAGCCTAAAGTCAGAATTTTCAGTGTCATGAAGGTAGCTCTGTTTTGACCTGGCTAGATTTCCATGGTAACCAATGCCATGGAGCTAGATCGCCATGGTAACAGACGCTGTGGAGCTAGATCTCCCTGGTAACTGATGCTGTGGAGTCAGATCTCCATGGTAACTGATGCTGTGGAGCTAGATCTCCATAGTAACTGATGCTGTGGAACGAGATCTCCATGGTGACCGATTCTGCTGAGCTAGATCTCCATGGTAACTGATGCTGTGGAGCTAACCTGGTCAGGAGCAGGTTATGTTCAGAGTTTCTGATTTAAACTGGCTGGAAGACGTGTCTCCCTCAACCAGGTTATTTCCTGCTGATTCTCTATGAGCGATACAGATTCTCAGCTGAGGGAATGTGTTTTATCTGCTAACACGCTGAGTTGTGTGTCACTAATATCACTGAATGAAGCCGTGCAGTTACAGTATCGTACACTGTAAATATGGTGTTGCTATGGAAACCAGACATGCATTTAGTTGGCGATGCAGAAATCACATAAATATGTTTTTATGTTTGGTCTGTTTACTTTTCATGATCTCTGCCGAGCCGACTTACACAAATAAAACTCAGCTATGTCCAACTTGCTTCGTCGTTCACCCCTCTGGTCGTTTCATTTGTTCATTAATTCATTTATTTGACAGAAACGCTGACCAACAGAAATGCGACTGTAATTTAACAGCTCCTATACAGTCATTGTTATCTGTTGTCGAGGGCCACTTCCTAAAACAGCAAACTGAAATAAGAATAATGAATTTTTTGCAGCCCACACCAACAAATCGAACAGAATAATCCCAGTGCGCTCTAATCAAACCAGCAGAGCAGCACAACTGCTATTTAACTTAAATTCTGTGAATGCAGCTTCTTAAATGAGAAGATTTTCCTCCTCTCTGACAGAACATCTTCTGTTTCTTGTGTGCAGGCAGCTCCAGAGGGAACAAGGATCAGTGCATGTTTCTGCTCTACATCGAAGCGACTTCCGTCAGCAACACCAAAGGTAGCGTCCCGCGAATCTCTAAGACAGACGTGACGACCAGAATCCTAAACAGTCCAGTGAGGAGGTGTTTTCTCTGAACATTCAGGTCAGCAGTCCAAGTCGGGAGCTCAGGGGTCGAGAGGGTCGGCTGAAGATCGCTCTGCAGGGGAGGAGTTCAGTCTGAAGGAGCTTTATGCCGTCCAGGAGATCCAGTCACAGCCAGACCTGCTGCGACTGATCGTACAGTACGACATTCACTGCCAGCATTACACACAACTGTTATTGTTCGATCCTCTGAACCCACAAAACCTGCCTGTGGCTTTAAAAGGCAGGTTGTTTTTTAAAGAATCATCAAAATTACACCATTTAGCAGAAATAATAATTAGATTTTTAATTTTCCAACAGTCCTTGAACTACTCATCTGTAAAGAAATACACAATACTGAGTTTCAAGTTGGGATATTTCATCAAAGTCACTTTATTCTACAAGTCTTATTAAAAAAAAAATTTTAAAAAAAGGGCTAAAAATAAACTGCAAATTAGATTCTATGAAAAACCCTGAAAATTCTGAACTTCTTGCACAACCATGAAGCTCGTTATAACAACTAATTATAGAAATCCAGTGTTTGTTTTTTCTTTTTTAAGATTAGTTGCGTTATCATTGGGTCATGATGCAGCAAAGACATTTCTGAGGTTCAGGACTTTATATTGCAGTGAAAAATGAGCCACAGTGAAGAAAAATTTAACATGAAAACATCCAGAAACTTCTCAGAATTCAGATTTAAATCCCAACTTTAATCCAAAAAGTAGGTTTTAGCCAATTTAAGCTGCTGCAAAAATTAACTTTAAAGCTCTATAAACATATTTCATGTCCATTTTAGAGATTTTTCTATTTAGTCAAAGATTCCTTCTGGTAAATATAAGCATTTTTCTACTTCATTAACATGCATATATGGTGTTTTTATTTACTGGTAGATGCGTCCGATTAGAAGTTGTGCTTTCTAACGTCCTAGCGTATGCCTGACTGCTTCCTCGCCTCTTTCAGCTCTTTGTGTCCCGTCATCTACGGCCACCTGGTGAGTTTCACTCTGGTAACAACAACAACAACAACAAGCTGTGTCACTCAGTCACGCTGGTTTTGTCTTCAATCTTGTTTTTCATCCAATTTTCCAGAAAACAAAAGACTTTTAGTTTAATATCTAGTATCTTTTGTGCAGCTGGTGAAAGCGGCTCTGGCTCTGGCCTTGTTTGGAGGCCGACAGAAACACACCGACAAGAACAGCGTCCCGGTGAGAGGAGACCCTCACATCCTGATCGTGGGAGACCCTGGACTGGGGAAGAGTCAGATGCTGCAGGTAACTCAGGAGGCAGCGCTGTCGACTAACGAGCTACTGTAGGACTCATTCCTGCTAATCAGAACACGTCGACTCGAGCTTATCCTGCTCACTTTTCTGTAAAGGTCACGACTTTGTCGGTTCTTGTGATTTCTGTTGCACCTTCAACCCAGAACAGGTCTGAACTACATGCAGTCACGTTATTCTGAGCTGTGGGACTTTTTCCACATCTAGGCACCAATGTTGGCTTAAATTAATTATTCTTAATAATGTATTAATATCTGCTCTGTGTTTTCTGTGCAGGCGGTTTGTAATGTGGCTCCGAGGGGGATTTATGTGTGTGGCAACAGCACCAGCACCACAGGTGAACTCTTAGAACAGAGATCTCCTACATTAATGTGGAACACACAAGAAATAATCATGCTTTCTGTAGTTATTTGGTTCTTTTATGATGCGTTCAGGTTGTAAATGTAGTAAATACTGTTTACGTTTCAGGACTGACAGTGAGTTTATCCAGAGATGCAGGAACGGGGGATTACGCTCTGGAGGCCGGCGCCTTGGTGTTGGCCGACCAAGGTAGAAAACCATTCGATTAAAAGTGTGTTTGCATCATATCTTGATTTCCTGTATTTCTATGGAAACAGCAGAACCAGGAAGAAGGTTCAAGACAAAAGAGTTTTATTTGTCAGCGTTTTTGTTCCACCAGCCTGCAATACGACAACACATCTAATCATCAAAAATACTTTAAAGACGATTCTCTGGCGTCTTTCTTTGGCATCTCCAGCTTTATTGCTTAAAAAACTAGTAAAAGTATTTTGGATTTAGAGGAATCTGGCATCTTTCACAAAAATACTGCTTGTATACGTGGATCCAGTGCAGGACTGCTTCTTGATTCCTCAGATAAAAGGTATAAAATAGTTTTACAAGGCACCAGACAAACCAGAGAAATCAGCACAACTGTAATTTGTTTTCCACAGTTCTTCCTCTTGCTGCCTGCAGGGGCTGCAAGTTCACAAAAACTGCTTAGAAAACCATTTTCCCTTCGTCTGATGTTCGACTTGTTGCCTGTTTGTTCGTTTGATCTGATCTCATCCTCTGCAGGCATGTGCTGCATCGATGAGTTCGATAAGTTGGGTCAGCAGCAGCAGGCCCTGCTGGAAGCCATGGAGCAGCAGTCGGTGAGTCTGGCGAAGGCTGGAATCGTGTCCTCGCTGCCCGCCAGGACGTCTGTCGTTGCTGCTGCGAACCCCATCGGAGGACATTACACCAGAGGAAAGACGGTCTCAGAGAATCTCAAGTAGGTTTTTGTGCTTTGGGCGATCTTTTTGTGCTGCTGACATAAAAAAGAAAACTTGCACGGTTCTCGTTTTCCATCACTAAACTATTAGTCTGAGCATTTAAATCTGCTGCCAAAACCAAGTCTTTGCCAGAGTTGCACCAAATGATGAAGGCTGCAAATATTTCACACACGAAATAGTTTTTTAAATGATTCTTTTATTTTCTCTCCCACAAAAGCATCTTAGTCATTCTGGAGTGATTCCTTCTTTCCCAATAGAGTTATTCAACACATCTGATTAAACGGTTTTATTGCAACAGATATCGCAGGAAAACAAACCATCACAGTGTCAGTTATTCCCAGTATCCAGCTGCCCTGTTGTGCAGCCACTGCTGGAGGTTTTTGCAGTCTGAACATTTGACTCGTATTCACGGTTGTCTTCCTGTTCGTCCCTAGAATGGGCTCGGCTCTGCTCTCTCGCTTCGACGTCGTCTTCCTCCTCCTGGACATCCCCGACGAGTCGCACGACCGCCGCCTGTCGGAGCACGTCATGGCGAACAGGGCGGGAAGAGGCAGGACCAGCAGCGCCGTGGTTACCAGGAATAACGCCGAGCTCGAGACCTCAGTCCTGCTGGAGCACTCAGACATGCCGCTGTCGGAGCGCCTGCAGGTAAACATGTCCCGACACATTAAACTGACATCTCGCCCTGTCAAGTGATTAATTTTTAGAGTTCTGCGCATCTGTTTGAAGATCCCTGCAGGTGAAACCATGGATCCCATCCCAGCGAGCCTGCTGAGGAAGTACGTCAGCTACGCCCGTCAGTACGTCCATCCCTCGCTGTCCCCTGAAGCAGCTCAGACCCTGCAGGACTTCTATCTGTCGCTGAGAGCTCAGGCTCACACTGCCGACGCGACGCCCATCACCACCAGGCAGCTGGAGTCCCTGATCAGACTCACAGAGGTGGGACGATGTCGGCGTGTTCATCCAACACATCTGGCTGCATGTGATGAGTGAACGCATGAGATAGAATTCACTTTTTCATGCTCGTGATGTGTTTTTATGTAGGCAAGAGCCAAACTGGAGCTCAGAGAAACGGCAACGAAGAGCGACGCCGAGGACGTGGTGGAGATCATGAAACACAGGTAACGATACAGCTTTAGTTGTGTGTTTGTGTCGCAGTTAGTTCAAGACATGTGGAGAAAGGAGGCGTGGAGGTAAAAGCTTTCTGGGAGTATTTTTTGCTCCTGTGTCATTTTATCTCACGGCAGGTTCATTTTTTACTGCAACATAAAGCCCTGCAGCTGTGTGGAACCAGAACATGAAGAAGGAGAGAGACGTCCTGAAAGTGCAGCAGTAGAATTTTCTATATATTGACTTTTTTTTTTTTTTTTAAATTGAACAAACCTGGAATCAACGTGCACATAAATCTTTCAAGTGCCCACAGGTGTTAGTAATACTGAAAAATGAGGGGGCTCCGCATTGTATAGATCATTTGCTACTTTTAGTTTGTTTTATACTCGTGTCCTCTCTGCTCTGTGCTTACACCGCCTGCAGTTCAGCCAAAAAGTCCCTGAATTTTTCCAGCATAACTGTTTGTCACAACAAGTCACTAATTAGTTCCTATTTACAGCAGAAGGCCCAGATTTTATTGTTCAAACAAACTGTTTATTTTTGGCAATTTTTTAATGTAAAGTCGTTTCAATGAAATATGATGAATTTAAGCTTAGATTTAAGTTTCCCAACGACGTCACACGTTGCTTCAGGGAGCAAAAACATAAAAAATATGGTAATTTCACACTAATAAATGATGTCATCTCGGAGATTTTTTTTTTTTTTTTTTAAACCCGCCGGTGGGTTTTGGGATTTAGAAGATAAAGTTGGTCAAAACTAATATTCATTAGCATTTATAAAATCTGAGCCTCTTTTGTTTTAGTGTTTTCATTTTTCTCTACTATTTTTTGTTTTTTGTTTTTGTTTTTTTCTCCCTAAATTACTACAAAATGTCCTCCTAAAAATAATAACAAATCTTGATATTTCTCTGTAAAACACTGTTTGAAATATTAAAATCCATTTGGAACCTGTGCAGGCCTGGATCACGGTAACTTCTTTCCCTCTTGTTGTGTGTTTGCAGTCTGGCCGACACGTATTCGGACGGTTTGGGAAACCTGGACTTTGAGCGCTCTCAGCTCGGCTCAGGAATGAGTCAGCGCAGCGCCGGGAAGCGGTTGGTCAACGCGCTGCACTCGCACGCTCAGAGGACCAATCAGAAGCAGTTTGACCTGCAGATGCTTCGTTCCATCGCCGACAGACTGAACATTAAGGTGAAAACACAGAAACATGCAGCACAGACGAGAGAAATTAACCACTTAGTTAATCCCTTCACTAAATAAACATTTTACGAAGTGAGAAAGGTATTGAATTACATTAATGATGTTTAACAGAAAAGGTTTTAACTCTCTGAACCCAAACAGGACTTTATTGTTTCTTGGCTCATGTTTTACTGCAATATAAAGAAGAACACACATGAAGAAGGAGAGAAAACTCAAAGAACACACACAATAAGATGCTTTTTGTAAATTATAACAAAGTGCTAATGCCATTAATTGTTTAAAAAAAGATATAATATGAATAAAGAAGACAATCTTTTCACAGAATCTTGTTTGAGAAAATAGTTTATTTTTTGCAAAGTTTGGAATGAGACTTATGCAATTTCAAACTTAACTTTTCTCAGACAGAATGAGTGTCACACGTTACACATTCAAGGAGCTTTGATGCAGCTTTTTTTTCTCTTTTGTTTAAAGATAACATGCTGTCCAAACCCACCAGCAGGTTTTCACAGAATGTGATTTGGGAAAACGGTTTATTTTAAGTTTAGATTTGGTTATTTTTTAACAACCAAACCGTACCTCACAGAAGAGCAGTTCAAGGACTGTCGGAAAATCTGATGTTTCTGTTCTGTTTTTACAGTTTCAGGCTGATAAATTATGTCATTTTGGGGGTTTTTAATGTGCCTTTTAAACCTGCTTTGGGGTTCAGAGGTTCAGAATCATTTGCATTAACGAGCTGATAAAGACTGAAGTTGGTTTTGTCCCCAAACTGAGATAAGAGTCAGACTGTGAATGTGTCATCAAACACAGGGCAGGTTTCAGAGCATCTAGGGTGTGAGATTTTATAACCATTTATTTAAACATCCACCTACTTTGTACTGAGAAATCTGTAAATTTGGTTCTTAAAAAGTCTGTTGAATTGTGTACTGGTAAATGTGTAGGGACCCTGTAGAAGCTCTTTGTATTTAAAAGGTTGATTAGATGTTGTGTTATTGTTTACAGGTAGCCTTATTTTGTACCTTTAACTTCTTAGAAGTGGCTTTAACACAAACTCTTTAACCCCACGTTGCCTTTAGTCATGGTAGAGTACAGGGAAGTGTCTCTAGTTTTCCTCCCAGCTGATGCTGCTGTGCACTGAAGCCATCGTCACTATACCCATGCTGGTATTACAGTGATTTAAATCTTCTTCCAGGTGATGGACTTTCAAGGTCTCCTGAGTTCGCTGAACGAACAAGGCTTCCTGCTGAAGAAAGGGTCCAAACTGTACCAGCTGCAGACCGTCTGACCGACACAAGCCTGCACCGAACCACGAGGTCAGTGATCGGGTTGAATCAAGACGTAAACTGTCCACGGAGCCAAATATTACAGAGTTATGTACGCAAAGATATTCAGTTTACTGTCGGAGGAGGAGAGAAAACAGAAAATACTCACATTTAACAAACAAATGTTCTGTAATTGTTGAATATAGTCACTGAAGCTGGACTTTGATACGGAAAAAAAGTGGTTTATTCTCACTGTTGATGTTTTGTTTTTCACACTTTTCACAAGAAGAACCTACTTTACCAACTGGCCGCGCTTTAGAAGAAGAATGTATTTAAAATCAATTGTATGTATAGTATTTATGTATAAATGTATAGTTGAATGTAAAGTTCAGTGTCAATGGAATTGTAATTTTCTTATTTTTATAAATATTTTAAAAACTTGATGACTTTTTTGTCTTTTTTCTGCCCAATTTGTTTGAATATTAGGTTTCACCAAGTCGATCATTTTAAAGACTTTGCTCCTGATTACTTTTTAAAATTCTTTTTTAAAGTTTTATCAATATAAAAAATAAACTTACAGGTATTAAATTATGGTATTTTCCTGTTAATAAAATAATGATGGCATCATTTTGTACAATCTTGGTATCATAAATATTTTAAAGGTTTGTTCCTGATTACTTTTTAAAGTTTTTATGAATACGTTTAATCAATATAAGAATATACAGGTATTAAATTATGGCATCAAGACTTGTTTCTGATTACGTTTTTTTTTTATTTTTATAAATAGTATTATAAATATGTTTAAACCTTGTGTCTGATGCCTATTTCGTGTTTTTTTTCTGTCTAATCTGTAAATAATAAGTTTTATCATCAGTGTAAGCCCTGGACTGTCTACCGGTGATAACCAGCGGATTAGGTTTTACGACACCTCCTGCCGTATCGGTTTACGGCAACATGGCGGCCTGCTGGGTCGCGCTGCTCTCTGTCGGCTCTGACCGTCGCTGTCGGTAACTTCGTCATGAGCTCGCGGACGGAGCTCTCGAGACCGTTGAATCGGTAACGGGGTGCTCGTGAACATGATGACGACGTGTTTTCAGCGGATTTCCGCTCCGTTGCGCCGCAGCGCCCCGAGCGTGCGCCGCGCAGCTGTGTGCGGTCTCGAGCCTGCGTCATGGCGGCTCGCGCACACACCTGTCCCGGAGCGTGCGAGGTGCACGCAGCCGCCGGTGAGCGGCTCGTGCCTGCTGCGGCTCCGGTGGACGGACGGACGGGTCTCGTGCTGGAGCGGGATCCTGCAGCAGGTGAACCGGACCCACGGGTGCGCGCTACAGTACCGGGGAGGTCACGAGAGGTCGGCGGCGGCGACCAGCTTCCGGTGCGTGTTGACCCCCGGTGCGCGAGGACTATGCAGCAGCAGCAAGAAGAGCGAGGAGACACCGGAGAGCGGTCCGGTGGAGCAGCGGGGCGACACCGGGGCGGTACCGGGACAGGGACTGTTCAAGTTCAAAGAGCTGGTGAGGAAACGGACGCACCTGTGTGACGTACACAGGTAGAGGCAGTGACGTGTGTGGCTGTGAACGACAGAGACAACAGCTGATGGGCTCTGATCGATACTGTATCGATCCTGAGACGAGTTTAAAATAAAAACACAAAACTATAAAGTATCAAAAGTGAAATGCAGTAAACATTTCTAAAGTAATGGTGGTAAATATACACAGTACAGTACAATGTGTACCTGGTGGTATTTATACAGTAAAATATAATGTAGTATAACTGTGGTGCTACATATATACAGTACAATGTGTACCTGGTGGTGTATACACAGTACAGTATAATGTAGTATACCTGGTGGTACATATATACAGTACAATGTGTACCTGGTGGTCTGTGCACAGCAGAGATAATGTAATTAGCAGCTACAAGGACGGATTAGACTGAATACTGCAGCACTAAAGGAAGCCTCTTAATCAGACCTGAGCTCAGATGAATCATTGTTGGTGAAGTTTATGGAGGTTTTCTGAAACTAATAATACTTTTATCTATGTGGTACATTTAAAAACAAGACAAAACATTTTACTGCCACTAGTCTGACCTGCAGCAGTCGTATTAGTTGTACTTCAAGTTGTGTGAAGTGATTTAATGAAGGATTTTTACACATTTCAGCTCCAATATTGGCCTAAAAACAAAAACAGGTGTTCAGGATAATTTCCTCTGAGTTTAGTAAACAGCATCAGACAGCAGCAGTAACGTCATCATTTAGTGATAACTTTAAATCATCCCTCACAGTTAAGATTATCATCACACATGGACAAAACTGTCACTGTTAAGAAATCATAAGTAAACTCGGACATTATTAAGAATGAATGTGACGTATCCTTTGTCTGAAAACAGCTTCAGTCATCATGGGTTGTGCATAAAATTAGGCTAATACAATAGAAAAAAAATAAGATTGTTTTGCAGATGTTTCAAATGTAATATGAATTGTGTCTTAAATGGGAACTTTGTGTGTTTTTTCCATTGAAAAACAAACAAACAAAATAAGTGATTTGTAGGTCATCTCTGTAGCATCACAGCTTTGATTCTCATGGTATGTTGTGACACATTTTACCTTTAAAATATTACGATGAGAAAATGTTAAAATACATCAAGAAATAGACCGAAAGTACCTCAATTAATCTGGGTAGGTGAAACATAAAGTAAGTAAAGTAATGAAGCAGGACAAACAAGGGACTCGGTGTAACTATCAGTTTGGCAAGAAACGATGAAGTTCAAAGTGCTGAGAATGCTTAGATAAAAGAAACACAATAAATAAATAAATCAAACTGAACAGCATCTACAGAGCCGAGCGCAGTTCAGAGTTCTTCACAGTCCACTGATAAAAAGACCAAAACACATAACGAGTGAAATAAAGACAGATTGAAAAGGAATAGATGTAAAAAGAGAAGAAAAACATAGAAATTAAAAAAAATATGATAAAAATCTTAAAAACAGGTATAAATAGAATATAACTGACAATATTACAATAAAACAGCGTCAGTAATGTCTGTAAACACACTGTAAAGGAGTTTAAACGCTTCCAGCTGCAGCGTTAAAAGCACATTTAAATAAAGTTTGCATGACGGGAAACTCCTGATTTAGTTTGTGAAACTATTACAGCTTCACTTATTATTAAACAAATCAGTTGTATAACCTTCTTGGAAGTTCTGCGCCTGACAGACGAGTAAACAGTAAACTGTTCTCTTGTTTTCTACTTTTCCTCGTAGTGAATTTATCCTGACGTTGGTTTGGACGGTTTTATTTAGAGTCCTCGGCTGCAGACTTCCTGTTATCTTCAGTAGAAACGCTGTAATTCATGCAAATATTCTTAAATTTGTGTTCTTAATCTCCTTGTTGTTCTTATTTATATCGTATATATAGTGTATATACCTCGCCTCTTCAATCTGTAGTTGTGTTTTCTTGCTTTTCTTGCATCACTTTGCTGCCGTCACGTTGCACATTTCCCCTCGTGGGACGAATAAAAGTATGTTCTATGTATATTCTGTTATATATATTCTAATGTTTAAAGGACAAATGCTTCATTATTATCCATTGTTATTCCTTTTTATGCTTCAGTAAAAGACAAACGCTGTTGACTGTTTTTCCTTTGACTCGTCCACATTTAAACTCGTGTACGTTGTGTTCCTGTGCAGTACGAGAACCCGTGGACCATCCCCAACCTGCTGTGCGTCTGTCGGATCTTGTTGGCGCCGTTTCTGGGTCACCTGATCATCCAGCAGCACTTTCACCTGAGCCTGGCTCTGTTCACGCTGGCCGGAGCCACCGACCTGGTGAGACACACCTGCAGCCTGACGCTGACACACCTGTTGTCACGCACCTGAACACACAGACAAAGTGTTGTTGGACGATTAACACACGGAAACAGGAATTAACTAAAAAAACGAGTGCTTTTATTAACATGTGCCATAAAATTGAAGGCAAACACTTCAAAGGTGTTTTTTTTTGTCAATTTCTGCTGTTATTTGCAACAGTATGTGCAATATTTTAAAAATTATTCCAATTATTTGTTGTTTTTTTTCATTTAAAGGTGTTTTACGGCTAATGCTAATGACTAGCTCCTCATGCTAGGAGCTAATGCCGGTGAAACAAATGCAACTAAACTACCAAACTTGACTGAAAAAGAAAAGCTGTTTGGACACTGAGTGGCATCCAGTTAAAACTTTGTGTAGACAGATCAATACCTTTACCCCGATACCGAAAGCTGCACAAACTTCAGATGTAAAACACTGAAAATGTTGATTAACTGTCTTTTCAATACACTTTATATGCACATTAAACAGTTAAAACATTTAAAGCAGGACTCATTTTGTACTGATCTGCAGTGACCCTTTAGACTTTCTACCACACGTGTTCACATTAGGTTTTAATTGCTCCCAGTCAAAGATTTGATTCATTTAATATTTAATATCCGCTAAGATAACACAGCTGCACTACCAGGTCCAGCCACCAGGTGGAGCCGCTTCCTTATTGATGCTGTAATGTCCAGGAAAGGCAGGCAGTCGATTTATGGCAAGCAGAACTGCACTGTGGGTGTTTAGCTGGTGAAAGGGAACCATGACCAAGACTTCTTTCAAAGGTGTTTTTATTCACCGAAATATCATCGAAATGTACAGACTTGACAAGAAATTTTAGTTTTTAGCATTTTTTCTTCATGAACGTGAAACAGGAGAATCTTAAGCTACTCGGCTACTCAGTGGTTCTAGTCGAGGGTCTTTCAAAGAAATCCAGAAGAGGACGCCACAATTTATAGAAATAGTTTTCTGAACCTCGAACCACTGGGAATGTGAGGGGGATGAGGAGTCCCTCCGCTTGAGCAAAATAGCTCATCCATCCTATAAAAATGAAAATTTCAAGACTTTTAACTTAGAGTTTGGCAAGTTAAGGTCTGGGGCCGCTCCAGAAATAGCACAGAGTGGATCTGGTTTAATTTGATGCTGTAGGACTTCAGAGATTGTATAAAACATGGAATTCCAACAGTTTAGCCATAACAGACAGGACCAACACATATAAAGCAAAGGATCAGGTGCACTTCCACACTTTCCACAAGTTGGGTCAACATCTGGATAAATGGGTGCCAACTTGACCTTTGGCAAGTGCACACCATGACCAAGACTTC